TGCCGACTCTAAGATAGCAGTTACAGTACGCGTTCTATTAGGTTTACAGTCACCACCAAGAAGACTCGCCACCAGCTTTCATTTCTTCTGCCATCTTCAGATTCACCTCTCTCTCAACTTTACGTCTCCGATTTTTATGAGAAGGATGCTGGCATTTACGAACCCGAATGTCTGAATCTCACATCAAGTTGTGCACGATATTTGATGCATTACGTGAAATCGCGGCCTTCGTAATCTCCAAATAAGCCAATACGCGCTAGAATAAGCTTCTTCTCGGACGAAGCGCATGTTTGGGATACATTCACGTCTCTCAATTATTATTATTATTATTTTTTTTTTTTTAAGCTGTACATAATCTAGAGGTATGAGCTGTTGCCGTCCCTGGCCAGCGCGAGGGAAATAACACTTGGTTCTACAATTAGTTGCAAATGAACAAGACAACTGCGCCATCTTGACTCCATCAATTCGAGTGTTAGGTTGAATTGCGGGCTTTTAGAGACTCGATTTCTTATATGGCATCACTATGAAGACGTAATACAACTGATTCACCTACACTACATAGGATTAACAATGTCTGTTGCACTGTTGTAAGAGGGAGGAAAATATTACCGGAAGTGTAAACTCTTTAAGAGTTTCAGAGACGTTTCAGAGATGTGTATCTTCGGCTGTCACAAAAAAATTGACCCCCTCTTAAATTTACTGAGAAAAATGAACTTACAAACTCCTCGTTGAAAAAATTGGAATTCATTTGACCGATACGCCCGCAGTTTCAATTTTGCTTTTTCCTCGGGCTCTTATAAAACAGTTCATAAATTGACCGATGAATAATATATTTTGAAATACCGTTCGGAATTTGTCTTTTTTTTCTGCGTGCAAATCAAGGGCAGACAAAGTTTTTAAAACATTTGACAAGAATTTCATGGGGGTCACCTCGATAATTTTCGTCGGCCAGAGTCAAGACGCGCCAAGCTAAGCGAATCGCCCCCAGTAAAATTATTTTCCAAAGAATAAATGTGGCGAGCGCGAGGAAACGCACATTTTTTTCATTATAGTGACCAAAGCCCAAGGATGTACCTAAATTGGTACTTACTGTATCAAACCATTGATTATGACAAGGTGAGTTTAATTTTCCTGTCGAGGTCGACGTGACTTCACATTCAAAGCGTTTTTGACGGAACAAACTAGTGAGTATCACTGCACGAACTGAGAAAGTAAAAACTTGTATTTATCGCCCACGCGTTTCGTCTGACAATAGTAGACTTCATCAAGGAGTTTTACAAGCAAGGTAAATAAGCTTGCTCATATACAAATAGTAAATAAGTTTCCTCTTTACTGTTGAAGCCAGTGGACAGAATTCGCCAAGTGCGCCTACAATGTTATATATGCGTGACATTTTTCGGACGTTACATGTACGAGTATGTGATCCGTTTGAGGGTCACAGACTTAGTGTAAATATTTGATCCTTCAACATCACGTAATGTCTCTAGTTTACAGAGGTCTTAGAACGCTTCATTACATGGATTTGCCTTCTGCGGGTAGAAGGCTAAAACCGAATTTCTCGGGCGTAATTGCCTTGATTTTTCAATTGATTCTGTCGCAAACACAGTTTTTGGGAGTCACGAAACAAAAAAAACTTATCAGGACCTAGTTTAATGTTCTAATGGAAATAAAAAGCAAATAAAAACACATTCTCTTGAGAAACAAAGTTATAAATAACAGGGGTTCATTGAAACAAATAGTGATAGAAAAGGTTTCAGTTCTATCTTATCCATCGAGGTGACTTTCCTGAACATCACGTTTCAATCAAAGAAACAGGAAGACTTGAATGAGACTTTGTCGGTTCGCTTAAGTCACACACGCGACGCCAAGTGTCACGACAAGCCTTTGCTCGAGTGGAAAAGAAAGAAGGAAGAGAAATGAGGCGATTTATAGTTTCCTTAGAAAATAACGGTGAGCTTGATTTTAGAAAAGGGAAAGTAACAAATTAATATTCTGCTTTATAATCATATGAAGGTGCATTAATTTTCAATGCTTTTAGCTCTAAATGTCATTGTGAGAAGACAGTTTTTGTAATATTATATATTTGAGATAAATATGACACTTGTGAAGCCCGCATCAAATGCCTTGATAAAGTCTAAAAAGAATCAGTTTTAAGAACTAATCCTGACACTTCTCAGTTTAACTGTGGATACCCAGTTTCATTAGGGATGTCCTTTGCGTGAGAATTCCAGTTTTAATTTTGGTTCGTATGGGAGAAACCCACGCTGCTCATCAATGCAGCTGGCCAACACATCATTCGTCATGTCTAATTATCAAACATTTAAAAAAAACATTTAAAAAAAATCTAGATATCAACAATAGAAGATTGATATTCATTCGTAAACTCAGTCCGTTAAGTGCTCTTCATCATATTTCTGTTCGTTTAAGCGTACCCTCTTTCTTCCCCTCGAACTCCAGTCGTTTTTAACAGTGCCTGACTATATTGACGACAACCTGACTTACAATGGAGATAGAGTCCTCTGCTTGTTAATGAATGCACAGTAATAAAGTCAAAGATGACTTGGCCAGATGTCGCGCAAAACGAAAACGTTCAGTTTGCGTCTCAAGACTCCATCATTACATTCGCCAGCCATGATTTATATCAGTAATATTTAACTCAGCGGGACCATCTTATACTTATATTATTCAGCAATATTATTGTTGACAGACCTATTCATATTTTAATGTAAAGATCTTCCTAGCACTCACAAATATAAGCTTTTGGCTACCAATTTGAATTCACTTTTTACGAGGACCTCAGCGAATAAAAGAGGGCAGGTGGAAATACAGCTTATTTGTCAAAAGAGCTTGTTGACGCTTTGAGGCAGCTCCATTTAAGAGCAGTGAAGCAAGAAGACAGTGTTACAAATTCAAGTGAAGAAAGGTGAGAGGAGCAAGAATGGCTGATTCAATTGAAAGATACTTTTTTGGGAAAGATAAAACTCCTGAACCCATAGTTGTTCTAAACAGTGTCCTGAATGCTCCCTCAATGGTTATTTCCATTATTGGCAACATTTTGGTGCTCGTCGCCGTATCGAGAACGCCTTCGATCCGTTCGCCAAGCAAAATTTTGCTGTGCAGTTTGGCTCTGTCTGACCTTCTCGTTGGCGTGGTAGTTCAACCACTGTACCTTGCTGCTTTCTTAAAAAGAAATCATTCTGTGCTTAACGCATCAAGAACAATGTCTTTTATTGCAAGTGGTGCTTCTCTATTCACTATGACAGCCATAGCAGTGGATCGGTTCTTGGCCCTTCACTATCACATGCGATACGCAGCGTTAATGACCACAAGTCGTACCAAGTATTCTGTACTGGCCCTTTGGACCGCTGCCGCCTTGCTATCAAGCTCAGGTTTCCTGAATAGGAATGTCTATGAATCCACTGTAGCTGTTGCTATCTCTATTTCCCTTTTTATTAGCACCATTTGTTACATCAGAATCTATACCATTGCTCGTCGGCATCAAAACCAGATTCACCTTCAACAACAGGCGGTGGAAAGAGTGAATATCCAACGATCGAAAAAAGGTGCCAAGAACTCGTTTATCTATTACGCTGTGATGATTCTGTGTTACTTACCTTTGTTTATTAACATGTCACTTCCACCTGAGTTACTGGGATTAGAGTGGATCCTAGCAGACACCTTAGTGTTTTTTAACTCTTCTATCAATCCTTTTCTTTATTGCTGGCGTCTCCGTGAGCTTCGAACAGCTGTAATTCAGACAACAGAGACGTGTTTCTGTAAATCGGCAGAACAAAACTAGCTGATTTGGGATATGATTACCGGGAAATAAACTCCTTAGTGGGAACGACAATGAACAGCCTTAGAAGAGTCATGCTGAATGAAAATTCGCCATGGAAATGATAGCCAAAAACTAGAAGGTCAAGTAACAGAAGCGGCAGTTTCAGCGGCAGCGCAGCAGTCAAATGCGGATTGTTGCTTCAACGCTACTGAAATTTTTAGTATTCAGACAGGCGAGCAAAGCGTGATGCTCTGGGAATAAAATCTTTGAGTTTTGTACAAGAATGAGTTCATACCGGTTACCGCATAATAACCAGCGTAAAATTTATTCGAAGCGAGCCATTTCTGAGTGAGTTTATTGGGGTTTTCATTACAGGACAAAACACTCATTCCGGACGACCTTTCCCACCTGTGCAATATAAACGCGGCACGGCTCTCATATTTGTATGAATCCTCTGTGGGAGCGAGGGAAGCATTGAAAAAGACAGAAAAAGACATAAACACTTGTTTTTACAGGCTAATTGTTGCCACTCCCTCACGAATAAGACTTAAGTACCTTTTATAATTTCATAGCGGTCGTTTTCGAAATTCCAGGCGCGCACCCCCGCCCTCTTATGTAAAAGGTCCCCCTTGGCTGCTGATACGTGCAGCACACAAAATTATTTCTCGAAAACTAAAGTATATTTTCACAAAAAAACTACACCACAATTATTAGAACATATTGGGCTATAAAATATGAAAGTAGGAGAGAAAACGAATTTCGGGCGACTTGCCACAATATTTCAAATTTGTTCGATGGATGCTGACATCCTCTCTTAAGTTAAATTTTACTAGTTCGTATTTGGCTTCTCCCCGATTAAGTGATCATGAATTTACAAACAAAAACATGTTAGTTTGCTTGGTTTGTTTTCTCAAGATTCATCGAATTGTTCGTCAGCATCAGTTGCAAATTCATCTTCAACAAAAGGCAGTGGAAAATTCAATTGATTCAAATAAACAGCAAACACGACAATCAACTAAGAGTGCAAAAACTGTTTTCATGTATTTCGTCGTCATGATTTTATGCTACACTCCATCATTTTTTGTTTCCATATCGTGTTTTTTTGCAAACCATGCAAGATTTTTTTCCTTCTTACTGACCACTGAAAGCTTAATTTGTCCTCAAGCAATACAATGTTAGAGCTAAAAAACATTGAACATCGCTATACCATGATGCAATCATGACACACGAAATTTTATATTAGTTTCTTTCGACATTTTATTGTCAAAGGTCCCTTTTACCTTCTAGGAGATCTTAATTTCACATCTCCTCTTTCCTTCTCTTTACTTTAACTTTTAAGCTTTTGGCCAAAATATTTCTTAAGGACCCCGCTTTTCTTGCTTAACTCAAGAATAGAAGATATTGATACTTGTGCGGGTTACAACGATCGGGGAACTTTTTCGAATGAACCCTTAGATTTCGTACAAGACCTTGCTAAAGATTTGTTTCGATTTAGTCCTAGGTTAGAACTCTTTTATCCGTTTCTCTACAAAAAAAAAAGCCTCGCTGTTTTAAAAACTGCCGTTCTGAGCTCGGTCATACGCCAACAATACAAAAATTGGATTGATGAAGGAGTTCATGAATGCTACAGTGACTGGGAAAGTCTCTACAACTTTTAAATCTACACTAGTAAAACCCGAAATAATTACAACAATTGAAAATGGAGAGTAGCATAAAATCATCGCGATGAAATATATAAAAATATTTTTTGTAATCCTAGTTGATTGTCGTATTTGCTGTTTATTTGTATCTGTTGAATTTTCCATCGGGGAACTTATCTTTGTACGTGTGTAGTTTCTCCTGTTTCCCAGTTTGGGAAAATAGTCAATATATGCAGATTTTGTGCAGATAAGTCGAATAATATTTTTAGACCCCTGGTAGTATTCGAGATCGTTTCACTTTAGTTTGAATTTTGTAAACTGCCTATTATAAATGTTTTCTACTCAACTAATGTTTTTACTGTCTAGAATTAAAAGAAAGACAACAGAGAAAGACAATCGCATTACTTAATGTCTTACTTTGTTTTCGTTAGTCGATTCTTCATCACTTTATTGAGAGAGAAGTCATGCAAGGACAAGCAAAACTTAACCAGAAAAAAGTTATTCTACAATAACCTGTTCTGCTAGTGACGAGTAAATTTGAGGCAACTACTCGAACAACACTAATAAAAAATCAATCTCATTCTTAAGACTGTCATGATTTAATAACTCATCGTAAAGAAACCGTGAATGCTTCGATCAATCACCGGTATAACTTCTTCAACCTAACTGCTGTATTGTAGACCCAATTGTTTCGTTAACCGTCAATGATTTAAATGAAATTTGTTTTTCTGACCTTCATCGGATCGGCGGTACATCGAAAATTAAAAAGCATGAAGAGAAAAATTTAATAATTTTTTAGTCTCGAAACAAAAATATTTATCCTTCCTTGCCAACCAAACCACTCTGACCTCGTGTGCCATTTTCCTTCGTAACCTAAAGCTGAGAAGGTATCAAAGAGTTTAAAGTTTGATCTCTTTGAGAGTCCTTTAATCGAGAGGAAAGAAAAAAAGAAAAAAAAAGGCTGATACGGCTCCTTTGGATAAATTTGGGTACATTCAAACATTCAACCTGGGTGATTTTACACAATCTTAATTATGAAATTTTCACCTGGTCAAGTAAAACTTTTCAATTTTCAAGAGGATTCAAAAAAGTGTTTCATAGATATTATGACTTTTGCTACTGGTAATTACTTCTAAATTGCCAAGAAAGAATGCCAGACGCCACTGAGTCAAAGAGTACTTTTAACCGATGTCATTTACGTAAAAGATATCCTTTTACTTGGATGATAGCTCTTGGAAATGTCTCCTGATTCAATTGACCTTAAATTTTGAGTAGTTCGTTTGAGGAAAAGCCAGCTCATATATCGTAGCACTAACCCTGGCACTCAATTAATGATTAACAACCAGACACAAACGCATTCTCAAGAGAATGCCTTTAATCATAATATTGTGTTTGTGCACAGTGGCTTTCTTCCCACGAATTCCAGACGCTTTTAAGTTCACGCGGGCGAAAACTGACAATCTTCTTAAGGAAGTGTCCTTTGCTTGTTCGTGAAAGCATAGAAATTAAGCCATGTTCATATGTTACACAAAAAGGGAAAAAACATATACCAATAAACTGTTGTGTTTGATAACAGTATTGCTCCGGAAAAACACGAATTCACCCAAAGCTCCTTGTTATGCTTTTGGCAACCTCTAGTGATCTTGAAAATTTATAATTTAAAATTGTACGAAACCCATTCTGGGTATGTATCGACGTTGACATATTAATTATGTAAAACTTAATGGTGCCAGAAACGTTTCATGCCCTTTGCAAGACATTCAAAATGCTGCTTTCATTGCGACGACAAGTTAAACCCCTATACTGAATATATTATAACACCTGGATATTATTATGGACGGGCCAATGTAAAGATCTTCCCAGCACTCACAAAAGATATGCTTTTGGCCGCCAATTTGAATTCACTTTTTACGAAGACCTCCGCGAATAACTGAGGGCAGGTGGAAATACAGCTTATACGTCAAAAGAGCTTGTTGATGCTCTGAGGCAGCTCCATTTAAGAGCAGTGAGGCAAGAAGACTGTATTAAAAATTCAAGTGAAGAAAAGTGTGAGGAGCAAGAATGGCTGATTCAATTGAAAGATACTTTTTTGGGAAAGATAGAAGTCCTGAACCCATAGTTGTCCTAAACAGTGTCCTAAATGCCCCCCCCCCCCCCCCCCCCCCCCCCCCCCCCCCCCCCCCCCGCAATGGTTATCTCCATCATTGGCAACGTTTTGGTGCTCGTCGCCGCATTGAGAACGCCTTCGATCTGTTCATGCACAATTTTGCTGTGACGTTTGACTCTGTCTGACCTTCTCGTTGGCGTAATAGTTCAACCACTGTACCTTGCTGCTTTCTTAAAAAGAAATCGTTCTGTGCTTAACTCATCAACAACGTCTTTTATTGCAAGTGGTGCTTCTCTATTCACTATGACAGCCATAGCAGTGAATCGGTTCTTGGCCCTTCACGATCACATCCGATACGCAGCGTTAATGACTAGAAGTCGTGCCAAGTATTCTGTACTGGCCCTTTTGACCGCTGCCGCCTTGTTATCAAGCTCAGGTTTCCTGAATAGGAATGTCTTTGAATCCACTGTAGCTGTTTCTATCTCTGTTTCCCTTTTTATTAGCACCATTTGTTACATCAGAATTTATAGCATTGCTCGACGGCGTCAAAACCAGATTCACTTTCAACAACAGGCGGTGGAGAGAGTGAATATCCAACGGTCGAAAAAAGGTGCCAAGAACTCGTTTATCTATTACATTGTAATGATTCTGTGTTACTTACCTTTGCCTATTAACATGTCACTTCCACCTGAGTTACTGGGATTGGAGTGGATCCTAGCAGACAAATTAGTGTTTTAAACTCTTCCATCAATCGATTTCTTTATTACAGGCGTCTCCGTGAGCTGTAGCATTTTGAAACAAAAGCGAGCTACACATTTTGTAATAAGGGCTGTAGTGTTTCGTGATAATCGTTGGTCTATGTAATTTGTAACCATAACTTGACACAAATTGCAATGATTTGAACCGTAACTTTGCCGCAAACATGTTCTGTACTGTGCGAAAGAATGCAAACGATTGTATAGTCGAATATTGCACTATGCTCTTCCAAGATATTTTCTGAGTCTCGGTCCGATTTGTAGAAACTGTCTGAGCAATGTATCCTTATCTTATTTAAAACGTAAAACTGACGATTGACAAATAATGATTTAGAAGGGAGAAACTATAAGCATCCAATCAGTGGAATAATTCTGTATAAATTTTTTCAAAGACCAACAAAATTGTACGAGCCCGTAGTTCATTGGCATATTTTTCGAGCTTTTCTTTACGTTCAAAGAAGAATTTTAAACAAAGTAGAAGAGGTCTAGAGTAGACTAGCTTCTTTTATTCTCGCTATCAATTGAAGACATAAGGTGAGACATTTAAATTAAATTTTACTAAAGCTTGTTTGGCTTCTCCCTCGATTAAGTGATAAATAATTTACAAACAGAAACATAGATTTCCACATAGATGTAGATTTCACAAGAGATAAGACTCTTAACGCTGGTAAAGAATTAGTATCTTTCGACGTTGTTTCGTTCTTCACTAAAAAAACCCAGTTGCTCTTGCCGTCGAGGTTGCGGAG